GACAAGGATCCGCCAAACCAGTAGTCTACGCGACTATCAAAAGGAGTTTGAGAGGATAGCAAGCCGAGTTCGGGATTGGCCCGAGAAGGCACTAGTAGGCGCATTTGTAGGGGGCTTAAAGGCTGAGTTGGCTGCGGAGGTACGATTGGACAGGCCAAGGTCGACAAGGGCTGCCATGGAAGCAGCGCGACTGCACGAGGATCATCTCGCGGCAGTGCGCAGGGCCAGACCGAGCGAGGGGCGCACGGACGCTCGGCGCGCGAGCGTCGCGGTCGACGATACGCTCCCACAGGCCGAGGTCAAGACAACAGTCGGCAATGGAACACGCACCACTAGCAACTACCGACGGCTGACGGAGGATGATATACAAAGGCGAAGAGAAAAAGGCTTGTGCTTTACTTGCAACGAGAAATTTGCGCCAGGCCACAAGTGCAAGGGTAAGGAAATTTTTGTGTTGGAAATTGAGGAGGGACGAGAGGAAGAAAAGCCACAGGAAGAGTCTTGGTTGCATATGGTGAAGTGCAACAAGCGTGGCCCTAGGATGATCAGATTCACGGCTAAGATAAAGGATATGTTGTTAGAGGTCCTGGTGGACAGTGGGTCAAGTTTAAATTTTATCGATGAAAGGATAGCCCAAAAGCTGAAGTTGGTACCCACAAAAGTCAAGAAGTTTGGTGTCAAGGTGGCCAATGGACATGAGCTGCAGGGAAGTCAATTGTTCAAGAAGGTCCCGATAATGGCACAAGATCACGAGCTGGAGATTGATCTTTATGCCTTACCGCTTAAGGCAACAGATATTGTGCTAGGAGTACAGTGGCTTGAAACGCTTGGACCTATTACGACTGACTACAAGCGAGGAAAGATGGAGTTTGGACGACCCGGAAAGCGCATTAAGTTAAGTACTGAGGATCAAGGTGAATTTCCCGTTGAAGAAGAAGAGAGTGATGTAGACGTGCTGAACTTTCTCATCCTTGAGGACAAGGAAAGTCTTGAAGAGGAGGGGAATGATACGGAAGTGGTTGTCGAAGCCGAATAGAGGTCAGGGGTGATCGATAGTCGAATGGGCGAAAGGCGCGCATCGGGCGGTGATGCGCGAGAGCGGGTGGTCAGCACGCGGGCAACGACGGGTGTACGGGGGGGGTGCACGGTAGGCAATCGGGTCGCGGGCGATGAGAAATACGCGCGGGCAGCGAGCAGCGGGCGAGCTGGGCGCGCGGGTGATGGTCACGCGGACGGCGTCCGAAACCGCGCAGGCATAGGAGTAAGGGGCAGCTGTACGTACGCGCGTGAGAAAAACGGACAAGGCGAAGGGCGCGCGCCTGCGCGCGACTGGATGGGCGCATACCTATGCGCGGTAGGCATAGGCAAGGGGGGCGACGCGCACGCGCGCGAGGAGACCGGACGCGGACTGGGCGCACGCATAGGCGCGCGTGCGAGATGGGCGCGCAAGAGACCTAGGCCGACGAGGAGTGTGAG